TAGTTGTCTTACGTTTTTATGTTCTTTGTAAAACTTTTTCTAAAATTTATTTTAAAAAAGAAATAGAGTCTTCAGATTTCAAAATTTTGACAGGACACTGAAAGTGCAGAATTAAAAAAAAATGGAATTGACAGATGGAAATGTGGGATTTAGGAGCAGCAGCAGAAGATGATAGCACTGACTGTGAGGGAACAAACCAGTATCTTTCATCACAAGACTTTGAATTTTCTACTTCTGGAAGAGTACGTTAGCATAAAGCATTGAACATAGGAGGACCCCTCTCAGATATAAGCTATTCAAAGAAGATGTCCACCTCGTGTTCATTTTCTAATGTTTTCCTCACCTCAGACCAAAATTTATCATTTTTAGTAATCTCACTGAGTATGTCCATCTCTGAATTATAAACAAGGCTTCCAGAAGGCTTCTTCTGAAATGTTGGGCACAAATGCCAATTTCATAAGGAATTCCTTCTCAGAATGCCATAATTCTGCAAGTAGACATGATATTTATATATATATTAAGATCATTTGTCATTGAGATTCACATAGTTCCTTGGACTTCATCTGAGGAAATAGGCCCTTACCACTACTCTAGTTACATGCCCACCATAGGAGTTCCTTAGTTCTGAGGGAAACATTTCTTTTAAGCCCATATCCTGATCAAATGGAGGACTTCAGAACTGACCCATCTTATCTGAAATCTTTTCTTCTGGACAAGGCACACAGTCATAGCAGCAGAATTGTTTCCCTTCCATCCTTCTCTTCCAAGATCCAGGGTAACAGGGCTCATTACACAGAGAAATGGGAAGAACCTGCCCACAACATGAAAGAGAACTCAGGAGGAGATCCCAAGTTCATTGTTTTATGGACATGAGGACAAGGTTAACCATTAAAAGATCTTTAACTATTTATGCCATAAAAAGTGACATGGCAAGTAGAAATGTTTGGGGGGAAATTGAATGAATAACTGTTTTTAAAGGAAATATAAGTAGGACATATGTTCAAGTACAGTTATATATCAGATTATTTTCAAAACAGTAATACAGTGTTATAGAATGCCCACTGAAAAGTCACCACTGAGACCATCTATCCGAAAATTCATGATATTTTGTTGACCATACCTGGTTGAAACCTGGGTGCCAGACAACACTATTTTCATCAATGACCAATTCTTCTCCTTTTGCAGCATTAGGATCTAACCTCCCAACTTTCACTCTCTGAAAGGAGCGGTTAGGAAAAGTGATCAGGTTGATAACATCAAATCCTCCTGTAACTTCCCTTTTGTCATTAAAGAAGACTTTCTCTCCAGCTGAGTTGTTAAAAGAGATGCCTTGAAGAAATGGGTGGAGCTGTTTGGGAAAAAAAAAAGGGGTGGATGGAGACAGAGAAGAAGGTGAAATGGTAATACTAGGAGGAAACCAGTGAGTAGAGGTGGCTCTGAATTCATCTGGCTGGGTGAACAAATTGGGTAAGAACATTTTTTCACCTGAGCTACCTGAAGCATACGTACAGTATCTAGTGCTTAAATCTTAACCCATGTTGACATCCTGATCAAGTTGTACTAAATACTTCATTGAAAGGAAAGTGTAGAGACATTACCTGCCAAGCCTGGAGATTTGTGATTTGAACCATTTTTCCCACCATCCTTTTGTCCTGATGTGGTCCCTTTGATAGTAAGGCTTGCAAAGAATGAGCCACAGCGTAGACACCATTATAGATACTATAACTATGACCAGTCATTTCCATTTCAAAGAGAGGTCTAGGAAGACTGTCCAGGTTCTCCTCCCCAGTGCATTTTCCAATGTCCATTGTTGGCAATCCTGAATTAGGAAAGAAGCAGTCAAATGCTTGCTCCCAAAAATCCTTTATAAATCCATCTTTGGGCCTCAAATAACTTTTTATGGACTGAACAAACTCCCTGAATCCCAGGACCTCATCTGATTTAATTTGAAAGGAAATGGCCCCATTGAACAATTGCAGATCCCAAGACCTTTGAGCTCCTGTTAATATAAAATCAAATTGACTAGTCATGATCCAAACCTTTCGAAATGATGTATTTTCTTTCAGCGTGGGATCCAGGAAATATATGACATTTGTAAGCCATACAAGCAACAGAGATTCTCCATAGATGATAAATGTGTTTGTCTTGCTGTCTGTGTAATGTCCATAAAGAGTAAACAATATACCTGTAAATTTATCCAAGTCTTCATAGGCAGGTATTCTGGGGACCTGTTGTAGGAAGGCTGAACAGATTCCATTCTTTGAAAGCAAAAGTTGTAGTTTCTTCAAAAATTGTTCTCCGCTTTCATTCTCAGAAACAAGAAGCCCAACCCACTTCCATCCAAAATGTTGTAGCAATCGGATAATCCCAGTGTGTAGAGGAGCCTCGTTTGGGGCCATAAAGTAAAGTGATGACAACTGAGTGGTGTAAAACTCTTCTGCAGGATATGAACCATATGAAAGCTGAAAGAAAGTCAAAATGATAAGTTATGCTATCCTTTTCTCTGTAGGTCTTTAGGGTACAGTTGAAGTCAATAAAACTGCTCCTGTACTACCAGTTCCACTGTTTATCAGAAGATAATGCAATTACTGGGGTACTCATTCATTCAGAGAATTAATTAGGGAAGATGTTTGATTAGGAACAAGGAAAGTAGGATTCAAATCTATCATTGCTCATGCTGGTTGAATGATTTTCAGTTTCTCCCTAAGTCTTAGCTATAAATTTCTTGTTAGCTTCTTGTTTTGGAGAATGTGTATGCGTGTATGCCTCCGAGTCAGTATTGACTCCTGGAGACTGCCTGGACAAGTCCCTGGATTTTTCTTGGTGAAATTGCAGAAGTGGTTTGCCATTGCCTTCTTCTTTCTAGGGCTGGGAGAGAGTCACCTGCCCACGATTATCCCACTGGCTTTGTGCCCAAGGTGGGACTCGAACTCCCAATCTCCTGATCTAGCCTGATGCCTTAACCACTACACCAAACTGGTTCTCTTTTTAGCAACTGTATGGGGGATAAAATACAGAACCCCATGTACATTCTTTGGGCTTTAAGGATAAACAGAAGACTTGGTTAATTTTCTCCATCCATAGACCAACCTGAGGAATCTTGTAGAAATCTATAATGCCTGCAATATGGGAGGAAGTATCAG